GGGCGGGGGGGAGAGAGGGGAGCAGGTCTGACTTTTTGAAGTGACAGGAAGTTGGAAAATGAAAGTGCTGTACGCGGTGCTCGCCGAGGCCGGGTGAGGCTGCGGCTCTTCCCCTGAACTTTGATCTCCCCCGGGGCACACGGTCATTCGTGTTTCTTCCTCTCCCCGCGCTCTCTGTTCATCCGGTGTCGAGTTTCGTTTTTTCTCCTTCTCTCCAGCACCCCCTCCCCCTTCCTTTCCGCTTAATGTACAGCTGCGCCTCAGTCGGCCGCTGCTTCATCCCTAGGAGGGTCCATTGGAAACATCTTTTGGGGTGGAATGTTAAACCGACCTGGGCAGGAAATCAGAGCTATCGTTGAAGTTTAGGGCTTTTAAATAAAGACACGAGAGTTTAATTCCGCATCAGAATCGTTCGCCCCTCGCGCTCTGGTTCGTGGATCAGTCTCCCCCTTTTCCTGCATCCACTCGCCACCCCGCCGCCACATGGAAAACTTGTTGCTTCAGTATTTAGCGCCGTCGGTGGTGTTTTCCTTAACATGTAATAGGGTTCAGTCCCCACCCCAAGCTCTCCCTTTGATTTTAGTTAAACATGAAAACTGCATAATTGGCATCTATTACATTCGAGGCTTATTGTAACGAATCTGTGCCCTTCGTATAGGATGCTGACAGGTAGCTACATCTAGTTACTTTTTGACAGCGAATTTGGTTTTGTTCTATTTAAGTGCACTCATATTGGAGACATCTCTTTTTTTGAGTCTTAACTGCTGTTTCTGAAAAATAGTTGGACTATGGGTCACCACAGCAACTGGGCTATGTGTATTATAAACATGTTTAGGGTGGAAAGATCGCCTTTAATAAAGACTTCCTTCCCCTAATAAGTTATTTCAACATGTTCCCGCCTTCAATTTAGCACAGGAGTTAACTTAGTATTTTTAAAGTGTTATGGTAGAATCAGTTATGGTTTCAGCATTTAACTCCTCAAAAATCAGATTCTTCATTTGTATCAATTGAGTATTTTTCTTCCTCATTATACTTGAAAAAAATTTTGAAATGGAATGGTAGGAAATTTGAGATTTTTCCACAAGAAGGAAAATGGGTTGGGTGTTTGTTTTCCGTGATAGGCAACAGAATAAAAGTATATATATATATATATATATATATATATATTGCCTCTTCATTTGTCCTTTTGTTTTTTAATAACTAGTAGTTTTTAATAACCATCTTAAGGAATTTTCCCCCTTGTCTTTATGACTGAAGAAATCATTGAAATTCACAATAATAGCTCACTTTTAGGAACCAAAATACTAGTGATACTAATCTTCAACCAAACTATAAACCCAGAAGTTCATCATCTTTTCCAAGACCCTGGTATCAAAATTGAATGAGTAAAAATATTCTTTCAAAGTATTTAACTGAAAGTGACCATTTTATGTCTTAGTTTTTCAAAAGTGAAAATTATTTTCCAGTATTTGAGTCCAAAACCGCAGTACTGTTTTCCTTCCACACGCCACCAGCTCCTGTCACAGACTGGGAGGCAGCTGCCCTGGCGTTCCCAGCCTGCACGTCTGCCCGGCACGTCTGCCCTGAGCATCTGCCCACCAGAGCGCCTGTATCCAAACAGCTGCAGCTGCCTTGAAAGGAGGCTCCACCTCATGGAACACCCATACTTTTGGGGAACTCCCCTTTGCGCTGCTTGGGCATAATCTCTAGGGCTTGAGCTTTCTCCACATTGTAGCCAGTCAGACTCTGAGGCTGGTTTGGGGGAATTTTTCCAAATTAAATGGAATCAGAAGCACCAAATTTGTAATAGTCTTAGGATTCCAGTTCTTTTCTCCTCATCTCATCTGGCATTATTTGTTCTCTCTATCCAACCCCCCCCCCCATTTTTTTTTTCCCCCGCCCCCCCCCCACCCCTGTCCTGTAAGCATCTTTATAGGAAATGATGTTGTTTGGTTAAACTAAACCTTCCTGGGGAGTAGTAGTTTTAGCAGGTTTAGACTATCAAATAATGATTATATTCTCCTTTTTAAAAAAAAAATCTTCAGGTGAAAGGAGAAACCTCTTTTCTTTCCCTTTCATTATTCCTTCTCTTCAATTGAAATTCTAACCTAAATATGTACCATAACATTTACATTGGAAATGTGGTAGTTAAAGGGTAGCTTACGATGAATAAAAAGATGTTTGATAAATTCAGAGAAATGATAGGGAATCCCTCCCCCCATACTTAATATGAAATGATGGTTTCTTTCTGTTCTAGTGGGGCTATGGGAAACTGATTTCTAGTGGCTTTGTCTTTAGCACTTAGGTGACCCTTGATATTTGTAGATTAGTATCACTACTAGCTAACCCGTACTACTTTACAACCAGCTGTGCTAGGGATGTTTTTATCTTAGAAAGTGGTTTCCCTGATGAACTAACAGTAGGATCTGATGGATTCCAGGACCCAGTTTTTCTGTGAACTCTGTGAGAGGCATCTCCCCAGTTCTAGCCTTTCTCTCTAGCCCTTCTAGCCCAGTTATCTTCCCTTCTCTACTTTTGGACTACTCATTTCTACATGAGCAGCTTCAAGTGATAACTATGAAGATTATTGGGGGACATTTTGAGTGTCTAAAAAAAGTGGTAGAAACCCAGCTATTTGCTGCAGCTGCTCCTCATACCTGCCCTTTTAGGAAGCTGACACAGTTGGTCCTTAAGTAACTTGTGAGTTACTTGTTAGAATTGGGCTGCGTGGCCTGACTTTTGTCGTGTTGGTAGGTTTAGGTCAACATCTTTATTGACATATAATTCATACCATGAAAATTTACTGAAAGTATCCAGTTCAGGGTTTTTAGGGTATTCACAGAGTTGTGAAACGACTACCGCAATCTAAATTTAGAATATTTTCACCACCTGGTTAGCAGGCACTCCCCATCCTCCCCCACCCACAGCCATAGCATTGATCTGCTTTCTCAACCCCCCGCCCCCCAACCAGATTGGCCTACTCTGGACACTTCATATAAATGGGGTCAAACAGCTTGTGGTCTTTTGTGTCTGGCTTCATTCATGTAGCATCGTATTTCCAAGATTCATCCCTGTTCTATCAGTACTTTATTCCTTTTTTGTCTATCTGAATGATATGCCACTGTCTAGTCCTGTCACATTTTGGTTTTCTGTGTCTCAGTTGATGGACATTAGGTTGTCTCTACTTTTTGGATTTTATAAATAATGCTGCTGTGAACATCTCACATAAGAATGTACAGACATATTTTCATTTCGTGAGTTTCTGTACCTTGGAATGGAATTACTGGTCATATGATAACCCTCTGGTAATCATTTTGAGGAACTGTCAAACCTTTTTCCAAAGTGGCTGTGTCATTTACATTCCCACCAGCAGGGTGTGAAGGTTTCAGTTTTCAACCTCTTAAGCCAATGCTAGTGATTGCCTCTTTTATTATAGCCATCTAAGTAGGTGTGAAGTTGTATCTTAACTTTGGTTTTGCTTTTAATTTCCCTAGTAGTTAATGATGTTGAGCATCGTTCATGTGTTTATTGGCTGTTTGCGTATCTTCTCTGGAGAAATACCTTTTAGATCGTTCTAATTTTTATCTGTAAGTTCTTTATATATTCTTGACACAAGTCCGTTAGGACTTGAAACTATTTTTCTCCCATTCTAATGATTGCTTTTTTATTTGATAGTATTGTTTACAGCACAAAAGTTTTACATTTTTGATACTAGTCTAATGTCTTTTGTAGTATTTTAATGGAATTGATTTGATTTAATTTGTTTTCAAGTACTATTCTCATCGACAAGAGACTCATTCTTAGATAAAGAAGTTTGGTTTTTTTTTTTTTTTTTTGGTATGGGTAAAGTTCTTTTCATTGGCTTCTTTGTACTTGTAAATGTTTGCCCAGAGTTTCTCCGCTGAAGAAGTCATCCTAATAAATAGGGTGTTTTGAAATTTTATGAGGCAAATAACTTGGCTAGAGCACTTTGCCTAAACCAGTGGTTATCATCTGGGATGATTGGTCTGCTGGGAGGAGAACATTTGGCAATGTCTGGAGATGTTTTTGATTGTCGGGTGAAGGGGGGAGGTGAGGGAGGGTTTTGCTGGCATCTAGTGAGAAGAGGCTAGGGGGTGTTGCTAAATTACTACAGTGTTTAGGGGACAACCTCCAGGAATAAATAATTATTTGGCCCTAAATTATCAAAAGAACAGATTGTGAAACTCTGACCTAAACAGAGATATCCTAAAGTTTGAGATATTGAAAGATATTTCAGTTTATGTCTTGATAATTTAATAAAAGTTGCTAATCAGAAACAGGAAGATCTGTGCAGATGGAATCCCTGTGGACAGAATGGTGACAGAACTTGTAAATTAAATTAGAGAACATTTTGCTGAATTTTCAGGGCTGCTAATTTATATGTAAATTACATTTATGATAATGGAAATAATCTGGAGAAATCCCAGTGGAGCAAAGTAGATTATTCCCTACCTCTGGACAACCCTGAGACACATACACATCCTAGCAAATAAACCAGCTTGGGCTGAATTGAATGTCTCCTCGGAGAGTATAGCAATTAGTTTTTAAGATAAAAGTTAATAGTAGTGATAACTTGAATGACTGGAAATGATCAGTCGGCTCCCATAATTTATGGAACTAGCTTTCTCTCTCAGCAAAACTTTTCTCAAGCAGTGTGGCAGACTTGAGTTCGGACTCTGAATCCAGATTTGCCTGGGTTTAAATTTTGGCTCCATTAATTTCTGTGTGACCTTGGATAAGTTAGTTAACTTTTTTATGAGTCACTTTTATATTTAATTCATTCCTATTCAAGTCCAATTCTGATCCACTGAGATTGCCTTTCTAGATAAAGGTTTTTTCCTGATAGTATCTGTCATGTAGGATTGCTGTGGGGGTGAAATGAATGACCGCAGAGTGCTTGGAGCTGTGTTTGACATATGCTACGAGAGTGTTGACTGTTAGCGTAATTGTGTGTCTTACCTGTGCTTCTTCAGCTCATTGCTATGGACAGTGCCATCACCCTGTGGCAGTTCCTCCTGCAGCTCCTGCAAGAGCCTCAGCACAAGAACATGATCTGCTGGACCTCTAATAATGGGGAGTTCAAGCTTCTGCAGGCAGAAGAGGTGGCTCGTCTCTGGGGGATTCGAAAGAACAAGCCCAACATGAATTATGATAAACTCAGCCGGGCCCTCAGATACTATTATGTGAAGGTAATACACATCTTGATCTTGTATTATATGGAGAACCTCAGAGCCAGAATTTCTCCCCTTCGCTTTGATGGAGTGTATAGGTATTAGTATCCTGGTTTACTTGAACCCGTTTATTTTCTTGCTCCAGTTTGCTATTAGGCATCCAGTTTTGGAATTAGTTTGGATTAGGACAAAAGATGTAAATGTTTCAGCTGTATCCTTCCCTGTTACACATATTTTATTCCTAATTGTAGTTGTCTTTAAAGAAACAGTGAGGATAGAGTTGGAAGAAGAAAAAGGAAGAGTGAGATACTTGAGGATAAATAGTCTTGGGTGTATCATAACTTACTTTAAACATTATCATTAGCACTTATTTTTAGCATCACTCCATTTTTACTTCATAGTTTAGCTGAGAGAATATAAATTAATACCTAGAAGAATAGGTGTTAGCGTACAGATTTGAATTCTTACTTAACATTTTATTTATGTGCTTAATTTGTATTTATTTTGAATGCTTTACAAGGTACTGAATGGGTAAAATAAGTGACTTAAAAGGATAAAATTAGGGGGAAAAAAAGCTGAGATATTAATTTATTTCATCTTTAAGTGGTTGATCTTATCAGCTTTCCTTTATGAAGACAGGAGTTAAGAAGCAACTGGAATTTCTGAAGGAAGCAGGAACTTTAGCAGAATAATGCTCTAAATTCCTTTCTGCTTACTCAGCTTGTACCTTTGGGGTTATTTGAAATTGCAGTTTAGCATTTTTTTGCTTAAGACAGATATTTGGTCGAGAACATTAAGCAATTAAAATCTTTCAGCATTTATGTAACATTTGTTCAGTTGTTAATAAGACATTTAAATGTTCTTTCTGTATGTTGCATAATAGTAGGGACTGTTTGGTATCGGCAGATAAATTTAGATTTTGAGGCCCTTAAGTAAATTTGTCAAATAGAGAACCTCATTAAGTCAGCTTTTTTATGAGTTGTGGGAGATAAGTTTGTCAGAATACATAAGAGTGCTTATTTTATTTATTACAGAACATCATAAAAAAAGTGAATGGTCAGAAGTTTGTGTACAAGTTTGTCTCGTACCCAGAGATTCTGAACATGGACCCAATGACAGTAGGCAGGACGGAGGGAGACTGCAAAGCCTTCGGTGTCAGCCATGTCGGCAGCAGCGCCAGAGACGTGGACGGTGCCGGTGCCGGCAGAGAGAAGCCGCCGCAGGCGGGGGCCAAGAGCTCAAGCCGCAACGACTACATACACTCTGGCTTATATTCTTCGTTTACTCTCAACTCTCTGAACTCCTCCACTCCGAAGCCTTTCAGATCTATAAAGATTGAGAATCCAGCTGAGAAACTGGCAGAGAAAAAGTCTCAGGAGCCAACACCGTCTGTCATCAAATTTGTAACGACACCTTCCAAAAAGCCGCCCGTGGAACTTGTTGCTGCCGCCCTTTCGGCTGGCCCAAATACCCCTCCATCTCCAGAGGAAACGCTCCAAGCTCTGGAGACGCTGACTTCGCCCAGACTGCCTTCCCTGGAAGCCCCAGCCTCTGCAGCACCCGTGGTCGCTGCGGCTTTCCCCGCGCAGCCTCCTGTTGCGTCCAGCTCCCCTCTGCACGAGCCGCCCGGGACGCCATCGCCCCCCCTGAGCTCGAACCCAGACATCGACACAGACATCGACTCAGTGACTTCTCAGCCAATGGAACTTCCAGAGAACTTGTCTCTGGAGCCTAAAGACCAGGATTCAGTTTTGCCGGAAAAGGACAAAACAAATAGTTCGTCAAGATCCAAGAAACCCAAAGGGCTGGAGCTGGCGCCCACCCTCGTGGTCACAGGCAGCGATCCCAGCCCGCTGGGAATATTAAGCCCCTCCCTCCCCACGGCTTCCCTGACGCCAGCACTTTTCTCCCAGGTAGCTCTTTTTTTTCCATTTCATGTTGCCCTTGTTTGCATTTCTTATCTTTTTAAACAGGTCTAGAATTTATAACTTCATGTTCTCATTCTGCCTGTAGGTTTGTCTTAGAAAGATTATATGTGACCCCATGAAAGGCACCCCAGACCCCGACTCAGTTAGGGCGGTCAGAATACGTTTTCACTTTTCCCAATGAAAATAAAAGTATGCTCTTTTTAAAAGTATTTAATGTACTTCTTATAAACTTGTTGGTATCTTTAAAAACTAGTGATAATCTTAAGTTAATAATAGCTCCTGAGAACCTCAAGAAAAAAGACTGGTGTGACTTGGAGTAACATGTTTGTACACTTACATAGATATTTCTTAACTTACTCATCCCATATAACATTTTAATAGATAGATTACTCCCAGGTCTGCTTGTTATCAAGGAAAAAAACCTGTTCGTGATTCACTTGCCCATTATATCTTCACACCTGAATTCTTCAGACAGATTAGAAAATACTTGAGCTCTGTCTTTCTTAGGTGATAATTTTAGTTTTTCCCTTATGGTAAAATTTCAGATTTGGCGGTATGTAGAATGGAAAGTGGGGTGTATTTGGGTTCGGGGTCTTCTGGTGCGTGGCGACAAGGATCTCACGCCCCTGACTTGTTGCTTAGCAAGTGTCTTGGTCTTGTGTGTCGCAGACCCCGATCCTGCTGACGCCCAGCCCCCTGCTCTCCAGCATCCACTTCTGGAGCACTCTCAGCCCTGTTGCTCCCCTGAGCCCCGCCAGGCTGCAAGGTGCTAACACGCTCTTTCAGGTACGGGACTTCTTTTAAAAAAGCTTCCTGTCATGTGCATGGTAATGAAGAAAAAGACAAGAAGGTTCCTTCCTACTTCTCAGTTATTTTAAAACTTCTCTCTGGCGGTATTTATGTTTGAAGTTCAGAGTGTTCGTTTTTCAGCCAGCAAGCAGCTCAGATAAATATTCTCAGCAGTTTCCTTTTCGTTGTTTACTATTACATACATTTGAGTAAAAGCAAGAATTGTGTGATACTATAGTAGATTTTGAGCCCATCCAATTTGTTTGTCATTTTAAACACGAGAAACCCTCTATTTCCAGAAAACACACACACATGCGTATATGCATGCATATATTTTGGGGGGGAAGGATCTATGTATAGTTTCTCCTTTCACCTGGGGATTTAAAAAAAAAAGAGAGAAGTTCCTCCCATTTCCCCCTCAGAATTGATCATCACCATTTAAAATTATTTTTTAAATGAATATTACGTATTAGCTAAGATGCTAGGAAGTGTTTTACAGGTTTTAACTATTACATGCTTAAAATATCACCTAGACTTTATAATTTGTAGACTCTTTTGTGATCAATTAATTTATTCAGTGATAACTCCCTGAAAGATTTTTTTAAATATTGTAAGTAAACATTTTATTTGTTTTTTGTGGAAATGAAATGGTTAAAGAAAAAATTAAGAATTTCTGGATGTTGTATTTTTTTCTTTTGCAGAAAATTTAAAATTATTGAATAGGAAGTGTTGAGAATCTTCTCTATTTCATTGTTCCATTTTTCTTTGCCTTTTACTGGCAGGTAGCTGAGTTATTAGTAAGACCTGAGACCATGAAGTCATATGCTCACATAGCTTCAGCTGAAATCTCCCTACAGAGGGAAAGAATTGCAGATTAGGGCTTCTTCCCTGGTAGCCTAGGGGTGAAGTCTCAAGCACTGTCACTACTGTGGCCTCTGTTTGATCCCCGGCCAGGGAGGTGACACACATGGTGCAGCAGACCTCTCCTGTCCCGCCTACTGCTCCCCTCAGCAGTGTATTTCAGTAGATCTTACCTGTTCTGTGCCCCACTCTGTCTCTAATGAATTCTCTTGCTCCCCCACATCTCTGGCCTATACCCCAATTCTAGGCAAAAATAAAGTTCTTTAAAAAAAAAAAGAATTGCAGAATATTTGATGGGGAGCTCTTTTCCTATGGTGAGCACCCTATAACTATATGCACCAGTTATAAACAAGTTAATAAATGGGCATGTCTTTCTGGGCCCTTTTGGACTGCTTTGAAAGTGAATTATCCTCTGTCGTGCATGCTGTTGTCACTGAACTTTCTGAAACCGTCATTTGAGGTCACGTGCAAACTGCAAACCTCAGGAAATGGGGGAAGCCCTGGGCCCTTTCTTTCCATTATATCAAGATAGGTTGGAGAGTTAATATATATTTTTTAAAGATTTATTTATGCATGTAGAACTTGGGTACAGGTCAGAGGTGCAGGGGCAGTGAGGTGGGTCAGGAGAGGTCTGCCGTGCCGTATGGTCACCTCTGGGGCTGGGATCAAACTCATGATGACGTAGCTTTAATTTCTTAGTGCTGTGCTTTAACCCACTGCACCACCAGGGAGAGTTAATATTTAACATGTAGGCCCTCCCTGGTGGCGCAGCCGGTTAAAGCACTGCACTAAGAAGCTAAAGCCGGGCCCTCCCTGGTGGCGGAGCGGGTTAAAGCACACCACTAAGAAGCTAAAGCCACTTCTGCATGAGTTCGATCCCCGCCTGCCCCGGAGGTGACCACATGGCGCGGCAGACCTCTCCTGACCCGCCCGCTGCTCCCCTCAGCAGTGTGCTTCATCGATCTGCCTGTTCTGCTCCCCACTCTGTCTCTGGTGAAGCCTCTCACCGCCCCTGAGCCTCTGGCCTGTACCCCAGCTCTGTATGCATAAATAAATAAATCTTTAAAAAAAAAAAAAAAAGAAGCTAAAGCCATTTCCCCATGAGTTCGATTCCCACCTGCCCCGGAGGTGACCTCTCCTGACCCACCCGCTGCTCCCCTCAGCAGTGTACTTCGTCAATCTGCCTGTTCTGTTCCTGCTCTGTCTCTGGTGAGTCCTCTCACCCTTCGCATCTCTGGCCTGTACCCCAGTTCTATACGAATAAGTAAATAAATCTTTAAAAATATATATATATATATTTAACATGTAGGCCAAACAACTGTTTTCTTTAAACTTTTTAATGATATCATATTCTTCCCTGGTAAGCAGTCCCTGCCTTTGTCCTGTGAGCCATTGCCATTGGCTACTGTTTTCTGCCTCAGGAATAGAATAGGGACAAAAAGTGAAAGTTAGAGTTTTAAGTAACAGGATGATGCTAATGTGTTTTATTTTCTTCTCAGTTTCCTTCTGTACTGAGCAGTCATGGGCCATTTACTCTGTCTGGCCTGGATGGACCTTCTACCCCTGGCCCATTTTCCCCAGATCTACAGAAAACATAACCTATGCATTTGTGGACTGGGAGAACCGAGGAATCACACAGTGACTTTCAAGATGATTTCCTCTGAAGCAAGCAAGCGAGTGGTGGTTCCTGGATGCTGACTACAGGCTGCTGTGACTGCTGTCTCTCTCTGAAGTGCCGCTGTAGGACTGCCTGTGCAGAGACTCAAGGTGGCCTGTGTATAAAATGCCTTAACTGGGGTCCAAACTTATCTCCCTCTTTTAAAAAAACATATTGAGCTTTATTTTAAAAGAAATTTTGGTGGGGGTTAGCAGCTAGGTTTTGCAAAAGCCATTAAGAACATTTACTTCTTCTACCTTATTGGGACCCTCTGGCCAGGAAATAAATTATGCTTTGATTATATTGTTTAAAGAAATCCTAGTTAAGAGACTTGGTCAGATTTAGGGCTAAGTGTACTCTGTTGAATACCTGAAAGTAAGCTGGGCAGAAGCGGTGGTGCAAAGGGATGACTCCCATTTATGCTGAGTAAAGTGGATCAGTACCACGGGAGCTTCTAGTCTGCTGTCAGCCGTCCGCCTCGGCGCGCCACAGAGTCGTCTCACTCAGTTTGCTCGCGGTGGGCCCCGCACCTGTGCGGCCGTGTCTGCGCTGCCGGCAGAGCAGGGAGCTCGTCTATAGGCTTGAAGACAGTGTTTGGGACACCAGTGAGGACGCGCGAGCTAGCACGGAGGTGTCTGCCCTCTGCGTGGTCTGGGCACACGGCCGTGTGACACAGCTTGCTAGGTGACATGTTAAGGGAACACCTGGCTTTTGAAAATTTGAGGCATCTCTGAGTAAAGAATTGTCTGATTTGAAACGTGCGGGGCTTTTCCTGGTTAGAAGATAATGCAGCATGAAGGACCCTTCTCTTTTCTGTTCATTCACCCTCTTCTGTAGGTATGTTTGTCTCTAAAAACTGGAGGTTGTCAGAGGTTGAGATAGTTTTAAAGGCGAAAGGCAGTGTCTCCTGTAGTGAGGTAAAGATGTGCTTATTTCTTTAACTTTTTTTAGTTAGGGAGGAGCAGGGTTCCTTTGGAAATGCACAGGCATGGGGATTGGATTATTTATATTAGTGGTGAAAATTTTCTAAAATGTTACAATCTATGTCAGGTACAGAAAGATTGATTGGTCCTTCAAGCTGAATTGATAGCAGCATCATAGCGGAGTCTTGAAAAACGTGGCTTTAAAGTCTAGATTTAGATTATGTGCTGCGGCCATCCTCCCCCCTCCCCAATTAAATTGGTCTAATTCTAGAAATAGTTCCTGTAATCAAATCAAATCATATGAGCCAAATGGAATGAAGGAGTAAGGACTTGAGGACTCAAAGTGACACTGACACCGATCAAGTCTTCCAGATGTTTCATGTTTGTTTGAGTTTGTTTCTGTACAGTGTGGAGACGCTCTCGTGTGGACGTCCTCGCTTCATTAGCGTGCAGGGGCCGTGTTCAGGGAGCTCTTCATGACTGTAGTGTTGGAGATTTGTTACTGGTTCATTTGTGGTTAGCTGAAAATTCTGTTCCTGCGATGTGCAATAGTAGGGTTGAAAAGTAGTGTTTCAGCAGTGATGGGGAACAGACCTATTGGATTTTTTTCCTGTATTAAATTATTTAATGCCTATTTGAAATTAGAGCTCTCTGCAGCACTTTTGAATAGTTATGTTAATTAAAAATTTGTACATTAGGTAAGTAAATATTGATGGTTTGATTTAACTAGATATTTAAATTTTTGAAAGCACAGAAGGTATTTTATCTTTTTGACTTAATGGAGAAAAGCCATTGGTTTTATTTTCACAGATGATGCATTTTGTAATTGCCTCAGCACAGGAATGCCTACGAACCAAGGGCACTGTTAGAACTTGGTCAAAGCAACTTCCTAACCAGTTTTAGTGAGTAAAACTGTAAACCATCCCTGGCTTGAGGCCTCAGGAGGTTAGCGGTGATTTGCTTTCTCCTTGAGATCAGAAAATCTAGGGAAGCCTGTGAGTTTGTCCCTTTTTAAAGAAAAGTGCCACCTTAGCTGAAATGCACGAGGCAGACCATCCCAAACTACCTCCTTCCTGGAAAGCTCAGTTTCATGTTATTTTTGAACATCCACAGAGTTCTTAGCATCAAGAGGTGCCCCCCCCACTTAAGATCAGCAGGTAAGGCTCGTGTTTAGGAACAGGCAGCTGTCATCACTGGTCACTTTGCTGGGTGAACAGGTGTTGAGGAGAAGTAGCCTGAATTAAAATAGTAGAACAGGTTGAATGAGATTTGAGACCTTCCTCTGTGATTGTTTTAATTCATCGTTTGTTCTGGCCCCTCCTTACTTAGTGGCATGCTGGAAACACTTAACTAAACTCTGTGAAGGGGGAAAAGAATCGCTTTATCTGTAGCTTTTGATTTCATCATGTGAATTACCCTCTCCGTGACTGATTTTAGGCTGCCGCCATGGACTGGAGAAGCGTTGTGCACTATTACCAGCTCAGAGCCCCACACTCAGCCAGTGGTGGGTTTGCACATAATTTCGAAAATAATTTCCCTTGTCCATATGGTAATTTCAAAAATATGAAATTAAAATCATGTTTGATATCAGTAATCCTTTTTTAATGCTCCTTCACAGTGTTACTGTAACATCTTTTGTGCATTTATAGATAGAAACTTCTGTTAATTCTTTTTAAAAATGTATACATAATGGAAGAATCAGGAAACCCTCAAAAGATTAGTGTTAAGCTTTTTGGAGTTTAAATTATAGGCTTATTTCCCCCCCCCCACATTTCGGTGGGTAAAATGTAGGTATTATTTTTTTCTTCAAATTTTGATGGGGAAAGTAAGTCATGAGCCTGTATAGTAAAAGGGTACTGGAGTTTTTTTTTTTAACTGGAAAATTTACATACCTTGTTAGACATCAAAAAAGGCAGGGCTGACTATTGAATCGACTTTGCTGGCAGTTTCCCATTTTTTCTATACCGTATGTCACATAGGCTTTGAGGACAACTGACTCAGAAGCTTGGGTTCTGTAGCTGAATCTGGGCTGTCTCCAGTACGCCTCGGTCCCACCTCCACCTGGCGATGCATGATAATGAGCAAGTGACAGTGTCTCATTCTTATCTCAGAATTTGTCTTATGATTTCCAAACTCTGATTGTTAAAAGGCAGTTTTATATGTTTGGCCCCTATGAGGCCCTGGTGAGCATTTCAGAAGAGCAGTTGTAAGCCTTTGTGAAGACACCTCCAGATCAGTCAAGAGTTCTGAGCACGAATTCCCTGTTGCAGGTTCTAGGTATGTATGTTGGTTACATATGCAGCCGTAGTATCTACCTGTAAGTGAATCAGACATGGGAAGATATTCACAAAAGTGGGAATTGAGGATGTTGAGGATGGCACACAAAACAGATCTCGAGTAGAAGTTCTGGTGTTTCCTTTCGGCACCCAGCAGTAGATTGCCTTGTGCTCCCCCACCCCCAGCCCACGGACCCAGGATGTTACTTCTCAGTCTCATCTTGGGGCCGGGGGATGTGGATGCAGATGCTTTTGTTGTGGTAGATGAAGAACTCCTTTACATATCTGGTCAGATTTTTATGTAAAATCCCTAGAACAGATTTGAAACTTTTCAGGAGAGCTTGTTACCAGCTTTCTGGAATGTCATTTTAATTCTTTTCTGTTTTTTTTTGGTAGGTCACCAAGTAACCCATTGCAACAGGGCTTCATACATACTAGTTTTGGTAGCTTGTCTCTTTCTTCTTCCTATTAGGTATGACTCCGTAGTTATTTTTATCTAACTCATCTGCTTACAGATTTCTTTTGAACTTAATCTATTGCCATCAAATTCAGATTCAAGTTGCTTATGTTAAAATATTTAATGACCTCCATTTACTTGCCTTAATATTATTAAGTTTTTGATTTTTTAAATTTGCAACATTTCAGCATCTGAAGAAATATATTCCTGGATGGGTCTGTTCTGTTTATCACTTCACTTACTATATATACTTTTTATTACCCATGCCAGAAGTCTAGAACCGTGTTCCCAGTGAGAGTGGGGGTCCGCTGGAGCGTGAGTACAGGTCTCTCTGCAGATACCTGCACTCTGAAGGAATCCCCAAGCCACAGGGAAGATGAGAGTATTGATGATATAGTCTGTCATTGGAGAGTATGACAGAATATATTATTTCTAAAATGGAATTGAGTTAATTATTCCACCCATAGTAAAGTGAAATGGAGGTCAACCGTAACTATCTTTCTTTAGCAGGTAGCCTGGCCAGAAAAGGGGGGAAGGCATTTGTTAATTTTCTTGGTTTGGGGTCAGATAAATGTTTTGTATGGTGCTAGCATTGCCCGAAATAAGGTGCCCTGTTGCTCCTCGTCGGTCATCAGAACTGTGCTTACTGATGCTTTCATCTTAGAATCTGGAATTCTTGGGGGTGGTAGTGTATTAAGCAAGAAAAGCAAGGTGGTTTGGTTTCCTTGCTCATACTTGGTAGAACATATGAAAGTCACGTTTTGACCTGCAAACAGCACACCGGAATGGTGAGTTGTTAAGTTAGTGTAAATGTTGCATCTCAAGCTGCCAGATTCTTCTAGTTACTTTTCGGAAGAAATGGGGGGAAAATGTGATGGTTTGATGACCGGCCAGAAAGTAGCACTTCTGCGGGTCCTGTCAGTCACAGCTCAGCTGTTGTGAGAGCAGAAGCCCGACATGAGGGAAATGCCCAGAAACCAGAAGATTCAAGCTGTCATTGTTGTCATTTTAAATGAAAACTTTAACAAGAAATTCAGGAGGGATGCAGTCAAACGTAGTAAGTCTCTTGAACTCTGATCTTTTGAGTATAGTAATACACACCAGGAAGTTTAATGAGATTAAAATTTTTATCTTCTAATGTTTAATTGGGAGAATTATCTTTGCAAGTGATTCAGGTTTCTTGACCTCGTGTGTGAGTACACTGATGAACTGGTGAGTGTGTGTTTTCGTGTGTCTAAGAAAATCTGTTTTCAAAGGGAACATGTATTATCCATCCTCCAGGATGGCTCCTAGGCTATTTTATACTAAAACTTAAGAAACTGGCTGCACTTTGCAGTTGCCACTTTTTAAAAATGAATGCCTTGCATATTTGTTTTTTTTTAGATCCATAGAATCATAGGCCTTAAAAACAAATTGCTTGCCAACATTTTGGAAATAAAGTACTCCTTGTGACATTATCTAAACAGTCACCTTAAACTGTTCTTTTGTGTTCTTCAGGTATTCTTGAGCAAATAAGGGTATCCTTTCTTGAAATTTCTACATTTGCTTTTGTGTAAAATCCTCATGTTGGACTCTTAAGTTTCCCAAACAAGAGGTTCATTAAAACAGCATTTCTACAGTAGAGTTCACCACAAATAGGTAGGCTAGAAGAATTCTGGCATCGCGGCCTCATTTATCCTTTTAAACTGATTGTACATAATGTGCATAGCGGAAACTACCAAGTATCCTGGGCTGGGTAGCTCTTTCCACTTCTCCTCATTTCCCATCTCATAAGGCCCCTTCTGGTTCTTGTCCCTCCCAAGGTGGAGCCATACTAGGACAGGCCTGGCCTCTTCTGGACCGGGTAGGGGTGGCGGCGCCCAGCGCAGGTGTGTCTGGAGGTCAGGGGTAGGAATGCCAGAGGCTGGTGTTAAATCCTTGGCACTGTGGGCCACCATTGTTAGCACTGTTTTGTTTTTAATAACTGGAAGCACTTAATAGTCATTTTGTTAAATTTTTTCTTACATATTGGGGGGACAGGGAAGTAAGGTTTATTTCTTCATGTTTTCTGGAATTTAAGGCTGTTTGGAGAAGGGAAAAATGGGTTCCCTTAATGAGCCATT